CTGACCTGGAGTGTATGAAGTTTTCAGATATTGATTTCATCAGTTCCCTTTCCAGAATAGTTATTTCCCTGCTTCTGATCATGATTCCCCTTTTATTACAGCACCCTCTGTCACAGCTCTGCACAGGGAACTCATATACAACCAGCTACTTCCCATTCACAGTCAATGCTGCACCATACTTGGTACCCTATAACGTAGGAATGACTAAATAATTTTTTTTCTTAGAACTACAGTTATGTTTATACCCGTATATGTTAAAAAATAAATTGCCTGAACAAGCTGCATGAAAAAAGCTCCCCCCTCACCCCGAATCCTCTGCCATCTTCTTTGTTTACCATGATGTCCACCTGTCTTTATAACTTGTCCATTCTTTACCTGTTCTGTGGGTTATGGAGTAAGTGCAAGTCAGGCACAGGCTCTGTTGGAAGCTGGTGTTTTTAAGAGATTGTAAGAAAACAGGTATTAATATCCTTCATAAGAATTTTAATGAAAATTGGCACTTCTGTTATAATGGCATATGATAAGACAAGTGCCTTTCAAAAATCTGTTGCATCTGTGAAGGAACAAAATATGTCTTCCCATTGTAATAATATCTGTGTGACAAGACTTATTTTCTATTAAATTGATATAAATTGGCAAGTATTCTTTTATGCTCCATTCTCTTTCTTTCCTTTGGAAATGGGCAAAGACTGATTTAGAATAAACCCAAAATATTCTCTATATAACACTTACTTTAGTTATGCTCCTAATTGTTTCCAACTTGCCTAGCAATTCAGAAAAAATAAGTGAAGAATTCAACACTTGATTCACTTGGGCAGGAAAAAAAGAGGAAGTTAAAATAAAAAACAAAGGTTAAATGGGCTGTGTAGTGCCCAGAGTATGCTGGTTCAAAGATTGTGAAAAATCAGTAATAACTGCACAGTTCTGTGCATGGGAAGAATTTGGCTCATTACATGGTCTGAGTGCCTAAATGACATTCATGTAACACTAAAGATTAAATCAATGTGAAGATGAAATCTCCTGAAAGGAACTTCTAACAAAAGCTATTTCTACAATGCACACAGGCTGCTGTCATATATTTAGGCTTTTCACACTTTTGTACAGCAAACCGTCACTATCTGCAAGAGTTGTTACCAGAATGTGAACTTCCTTTTCTTAATTATATTTAAATTACTCTAAGACTACATATGGGGAAAAATAAAATCCAAAGGAAAACTAATTCCAGGTAATGAGGACACACTTGACTAGGCGCTCCTTCAGGGTGGTTTTGATTATATGGATGAAAGACTAGGAGTCAAAACACAGAAATTAAGAATACAGAGGGGATGCTTAGGAAGGAATAAAAGAAGCATGGGACCCTGTTGGATTTCCTGAAGAGAGGCCTGCTAGATGGTAGGGACCAATACGAAAAATGTACGTCAAATGTGTTATTTCAGGATAATTTTTCTATTTGAATGGTTCTGTTTCATTTCTGTGGATAGCTCTATAAGTTACTGGCTGGTAACTCAGGATGCATCCCAAAGCCTGATGCTCCTACTGCTCAGATCAGGAAGGCAATGGAACAGAAGACATTTTTCATCCCTCACCTGTATGAAGAGGCCCCCCATCCATGTCACATGGGGTCCTGGAAGCAGACTTGCCCTTTAGGATATGGCTGGGGCAGGTCCCCGGAGAGGAGACTGCCATGTCTTGCAGTCACAGATACCTGAAGGAAAGAAGGACATGTCCCTGAATTCACATCCAAACCTCCTGGACACAGTAGGTCACTGACTGCCTGAAGAGTGAGAAATTTCCAGACTATGACCAAGACAGAAAAGAGCACTAGACTCCACAGGTATATTATCCCACACAGGCATATATATTCCTCAGGATATGCCATTATTATGCAAAGTCCTGTTGTGTTACCTGAGCTGGGCCAGAGTATCTTTGTACGTCACCATGGCAGTCACAGCGTCAGACACAGATCCTAAGATCCTGGGTCCAGAGCCAGCACAGCCCGACCTCTGCTTCCAGTTCCAGCACTAGGCTGTTCTGTGCTAGCTTGAGGGTCAGCAAACATCTCTATCAGCAGGTTCATGAGAGACAGAAATAAATAGCAATGCAGTGGCACAAAAGCTCTTTAGCTATGACCTATCACTAATTTTTGCATCTGGTAATCTTCATATTGCCTAAACAGAGATTTTCCTCTAAGTGATAAGTGTTCTGTTTCACTGGGTGAAATCCATGCCAATGCCATTTGCCCTAATGACGACAGTCCATCATCTCAGGAAAAAGTGACAAACTGGCAATATCCTGCAATACAGGATAAAAACATTAGCTTGTTTATAATGTGTTATAATTGGAATGGAAATAATTCACAAATTAAATAAGTGAATAAACACAGCTCTCCAAAGTCCTAAATTAAAATACTCAATTGAAATGCTTGTCTTTGCCATTTGTGAAACAAATGTTAAAGCATTTGAAGAAAAGCTTTTGCTTTTTTATTGCAACTGTTCTAAATGGAAGAGTGACAGATGATGAAACACACCAAACATATTCAGTCCAGATCACAGGAAAGTATTTGTCACACTGTCACATAAGAAATCACTGCATAAAACTAGAAGACAATGATCAGCAGCAAGGTGATATCCATTTTTAGTCCTTGTTATAAAGCAGGAGGGGCACCAGAAATATGAATGAATCATCTTGAGTCATCCAGCAAAGTTTCACAAGGCTTAGCACCAGTGACTGAGGTTGATCTGAATGAAGGATAGCACCATGCAGACTTGCTGAGTCCATAACTCAACAAGGGAGAAGGATATCTTCCATCCAGTTTCCAATCATTCCCCAGGGCCTGATTTTCCAGAGGGTTTTAGGTGCATAGTGGTGTAAATGAGGACAAAGTGTTTTCCTCAAATTTCCCAGGCTCCTCAATAGACCAACTTATCCCACTGTTTTGACATGCCCTGGAGGACACACTTCTCTCCACTGACTGTACAGAGGACCTTGGGAGACTATTTTCTGTGCAGAAACCATCTGTATCTGACATTTAAAGCTGTTTGGTGCAGCTCCTCTGACCCAGTGGCCTATATCCGAGTTTAGTTCCAACTCATACCAAGTCCCACTGGCCTGCCCTCACTACTCAATATCTAACACCTTTGTAAATATGCCCATGTGTCCCTAATGTCACCATCCAAAGATGGCAGGCATCCCCATGCCCATGCTACCCCAGCAGGCTCCTTTTACAGGCAGAAGCTCCTGCTCTAGACCAGACACTGGGCATCACTCTTTTATATCTTCTAAACCATAATTTCATTTTCATGTGTTTGTAGACCACAGAATGAAAGAATGGCTGAGGCTCCAGGGTGCCTCTGGGGGTGGTCTGGTCCAGCCCCACTTCTCAAAGTAGGGCCAGTTAGAGGAGGTCATTCAGGACGTATTGGAAAGGAGGTCGTAGCCAGGTGGGGGTCAGCCTCTTCTCCCAGGTGACAAGTGACAGGATGAGAGGACATAGTCTTAAGCTGTGCAAGGGGAGGCTTAGGTTGGACATGAAAAGGAATTTCTTCAGAGAAAGAGTGATTTAACATTGGAATGGGCTGCCCAGGGAGGCAGTGGCATCATTATCCCTGGAGATATTTAAGGAAAGACTGGCTGTGGCACTCAGTGCCATGGTCTGGTTGGCATGGTGGTGTTCGGTCATGGGCTGAACTCAATGATCTCAGAGGTTTTTCCAACCTAATTGATTCAAGCATATATGATTCATTTTCGTATGGTTGTAGACCAGAGGATCACAGCAAGGTTAGGCTCCAGGGTGCCTCTGGTGATGTCTGCTCCAGCCCCACTTCTCAAAGCACCGCCAATTAGAACAGGTCATTCAGGACCACAGAATCACAGACTGTGAAATGGTTTGGGTTGGAAGGAACTTTAAAGACCATCTAGTTTCAAATGTCCTGCCATGGGAATGGATGCCACCCACTAGGATCAGGTCACTCAGGACCCTACCCAACCTCGAACACTACCAGGAACGGCGATGTCCTCAGCTTTTCAGTCACCTCCATTGGCAGAGACACCACAACCTCCCTGGGCAAACCCGTGCCGCCGGCACTTGACCAGCCCCACGGTACGGGGATAATTTTCATTTAAATCACTTCAGGCGGCTCTTGCTGCGAGGGAAAAGCCGGCGGGTGCCCGCGGAGCAGCGGGCGCTCGGGGCGGCGGTACCTCGGGCGCGGAGGAGGAGCGGGCCGGGGGCGTCCGCCTCCTTTTCCCCCCTCACCGCCTCCCACGCGCGCACCTGCGCAGGCGCGCGGGCACGAGGCGCGCCCCCGCCCCCTCACTCCCTCGCTCGCACCCAGGCGCACGCACACGCCCTGCGCGCGCGCGCGCGGGGGGCGCGCACCTGCGCTGCGCCCTCAGCTCCCCCCCC